TTTGTTATTGTTGTAAAGATAATGGGATGAATCCTTTCCCATGAGAAAAAAAATCCTGACATTATATGCTGAAAATTCCATCATTATCAGAACTGATCGCCTGTCTCAGAGGGCAACAAATCTGCTTGCAGACAAATATACATCACCCCCCCCGAATCATATGATTCCTTGAAACAGTAGCAACAATGGAGTTCCTGAACCAGAGGGCCTGATGAAATTACTTCATTCACTCATTCAATGTATATCCTGTCTTTTGTTCAGAGCTCAAGGTAGCATACCTAGTGTTCCCTTCTCCTACTTTTCCACAACAGCAACCCTGCGAGGTAGGCTGGGCTGAGAGACAGTGACTGGCCAAAGCTCATCTAGTGAGCTTCCATAGCTGAAGACCGACCAGAATCCAAGTCTTTTCACTCCTTGTGCAACATCTTAACCACGATATCACACAAGTTCTCATTGATTTCTTGCTGAGAATGATTCATCTGATAGTTTCAAATACGAAATTGTACTTCAGAGGATGCCCCCACCAAGTGTAGGGCCTGAGACAAAGGCCCTGCTCACCAGGCTTTGCATGACATATCAAGGATCAACTCCAAAAGTAGGCAAGGCCAAGGTCTGTTTTTTGGTGGGAGGTTCAGCAGTTTTACAAGGTAAGTGAGTGTCTTAAGCATCTACCTGCTCAAGCTATCCATTTTGCCTCTTAAAACCTCCCCCAACCCCAACAAATAGAGCACAGAGAAAGATCCAATTTTTGGCCTGCCCATTTTGGAGTGCTGTGCACTTACAAAAGAGTTGCTGATGACTCCTTGGCCTTACTTTCTGTACTTCTGACATAAGGTGACCTTCCTATCTCCCTGAAGTTTCAACCAGCCAGGCCAACCCTTGGAAAAGGGTATAAGGATGCAATCGCCTGCAAGTAACTAGATTGTAAGACAGCAGAATCTTCAACAATAGCTTATATTAGAGCTATTGGATGCAGACACCAAACTTCCACATAACTGCTAGATGACAGAAAAGAGTCAAATAGCTGACTGGATTTTTGCAGCCCAGATCTGGTACCTCTAATCTGATATTTCTCAAGCTGCAGTCAGTGGAAATCCACCAGTTGGTCCACTACAGCTTTCCCATGTTCACTAGCTAGAGCCTGCTGGTGCTTCACTGCTTCATCCCCCCATGGTCACCATCAGTCAGTTGCCAGACAAGAACCTCTTGCCATCTCCCTCTCTGCCTCCTTACATTCCTTGCCAATCAGCTGAATGGATCAGAGTTGCTCCCTAGCTCACCTCCCACTTCCCCACTCTTACAGTCTCCTCTGATTCTGTCAGCCTTGCAAGGTTGCACACCCGGAAGTACTAGCTCTAACTTTATTGTAAGGTTACACTAACAGAATCTTGCAAATCTCAAAGTACATCTCTTCCCCTCTCACCTTTACAGTCCAAGAAACTAGGGAGGGTCCTTTCTGAGATGTTTGCCATACCCCCATTCCTTCTGCAGACTCAGTTGCCTCTTATCTGACCATTGTCTAGTCTGTGCCTCTTCCTCTTGCCTCCCAAGGTCATTCCCACAGACCATTACCTCTCCCACAGAGAGGGGCCTAATCTAGCAGATTGTCAGCTTCAGGAGTCAGTAATTAATCAACCATCTGGTTCAGTAGGGAATCAGATGCCGGGTTCAATCAGGGGCCTGATCCCGGCTGAATACTAATTTGAAGGTCCAAAGCCCCCTAACTGAGCCACACTTGGGGCTGGGTTACATTACAGCAGTCACCAATGGCTGGCTTCTTCATTAGGAACAATTCTCCCCAACCTCAGATCTACATACCTGGGTCCTTGCTCCCTGATATCTCCTGAATCTTGGCTCTTTGACACAGACTAGCTGACTAATCTCCTTGTCATTTTGACCTTTTGACTACTATTTGCATCTCTGAACCTGCACTCAGTTTTGACCCTGGACTGAACTCTTTTCATACCTGGCTCTCACGCAAAACCTTGCGCTCCGGTAAATATTCCTGGGCTGTCCATGTGCTTGCATGGCCAATTCTCTGCCGGCTTTTGTGTGTGACTGCTTGCTACTCACAAGTAAACCATAAATCAAGCCAGCATGTATGTGCTAAGCCTGAAAGAGAGCACCCACATTCACTGAGAAGCAGCTGGCCGGACCAGAACCCACTCTCCATCTCAAGCCTCAAAGCTCAGTCTCTTCCTCAGCTCCTGGTTCAACTGCAAAATAATTACATACTTTGAGTTACATTTTGCACAAAATTTAGTTGAAGAAGTCCTTTTAAATTAAAGGAGATGGGAGTATTCATTATCTTATTCGCCGAAACAAATATGTGAACACTCGTGTTTCTTAAAGACTAAAAATTAGGAAAGGGTTGTTTGTTTAACTGAGGGTCATCATATTCTCCTAATATTTAATTGGGTGGTCCACAATTCCAAAAAGCTGGAGAAACATTGCCATGCTTTTTATTATTTTGGACGTGCTACACAAAATATAGCGCATCACGGTAAAGCATGGAGGCTTGCCATCTGAACAATTAGGCTGGCCTACCTTCACTTAAAACTGGTTCCATGCCATCACAATCCAATTTAATTAAGAGCACCATAAGTGATTTGTGAACCTTGTTATCTAGCTTGAATGCACAGCCCTAGATGCCATGTCTCTGCAGGAAACAGTGCTAATTTTGCAAAAGGATAATGCTGCCATCAATCATCTCAAAGGAAGAATAAGCACTCTCATTTTCCAAACTGACCTTAGAGATATGAAGTGAGGTACTGATCTGGTGATCAGTACTGAAAGCTGCTGTATATCTAATGCAGTTCTTCTGCTTAGCTAACACAAAGATGTGCATGCTTAAACAATAAGTGCAAGGGAATATCAAAACAACACAACAAGAGAGAGCTTTGGCTCTCTGATATGTGGATACTGATATCCATCTGTCTTGTCCTGGCCTCTTCTATTACTAAAATATTATTTCAATCATTTTGAAGAGGAGGGAATTTTTCACTTGACTAGATATTCAATACAGCCTTCAATAGCTGCTTAGAATACCAAGCCATTCATATTTTTAGAAATTTAGTCCTTCAAGCTAATGTATGTATAACTGCATACACAGGTTAGAAATATTAGGCTTTTATATACATGCACACAAACACATCCAAATTTCACATACAATGAAACCTCAATTTAATGGATCCTTCTATACCAAATTTCAGATGCAACAGAACAGTCCTCTGAAATAATGGACAAGTCTGCTGAATTCAGTCATCTGATACCAACAGATGCTCAGTCATCTGAGCATCATTTGTGTAAAATTACTAGGAATAATGTGATTTGCAATTTAATGGATACCAGGAGTAAAATATATCCTCACCCAACTGGTCTATTAACTCATGGTTTCCCCATCATGTGATACCCCAT